CTCTCTCTCTCTCTCTCTCTCTCTCTCTCTCTCTCTCTCTCTCTCTCTCTCTCTCTATTAAAAAAAAGAGAGAGAGAGAGAGGGTTAACAAGAAAATCAAGTAATACATAGGGCCTCATATAGTCTGGGCTGACTGTGTACTCCCTCTGCAACCAAGGATGAACTTGAACTGATTCTCCTGCTTCTACCTCCCCAGTGCAGGGTTAAAGGTGTACACACGCTTGGTTTATGTGGTAATCTACTCAGTTTCATGAATATTAGGCAAACACTCCACCAACTAAGCTACATCCCCAGTTCCTAAAACTGGACTTTTGAGCCTCTCAGATTTCAGATTTTCATATTTGAGATGCTCATCCAGTAAGTTGATGCAAATATCTCCAAATCTGAAAACATTTCTTGCCTGGAGCATTTTGAGTGTAGGATAATCACTTGCATGTGAAGTTGACAGCACTAAAGCTTCCACTTCCACAAACACCCAGTAATTCCCAGAGAGCCTCTTTTTATAACCTCTTTTAAAAACATTATTTTGTTGGTTTTTAGACAAGGTCCTTCCTATGTAGCCTGTGATAGCCCAGAAGTCCAATGATCCTGTCTCAGTCCCAAGCACCGGGACCACATGAGCCACCCTTCCTTCCCTTTATCTAACAAATGGAACCCATCTGTTCTCCCTATTCCATCTCCTTATCCATACCTGAGGTATGAGAAACTTCGGCAGGAAATTTCTGTCTTTGCTAACAGATAATCTGAAAAAGGTCTCCGAAATAGGAAATTTCCTGAATCCTACATCATAAAGGAGTCACCTTGCGATTTTAGAAAACTAAGAGAAATCTAAAAGAAAACAGTAAGGCTGAGTTCAGAGTGACGAAGGCATATGCATGCTGGTTCCTGGACAACTTCCAGGAATGCACCAGTCCTGAGCAGGAAGCTGACTGTGAGGGAGGCTGGGTAGGGGCAGGAATATCAACATTATACTTTCTGATCCTTTTTTTTTTTCAGAGCTGAGGACCAAACCCAGGGCCTTGTGCTTGCTAGGCAAGTGCTCTACCACTGAGCTAAATCCCCAACCCCTTTTCTGATCTATTTTGCTGTAAACCCAAATCTGGCCTAGAACAAATGTGGGTATTATAATTTGAAATCTATGTGATCATTGTCCCAGTTCTCACAGCTTCTACCCCCTAACATTATTAATGTTAATGAATATTAATCTTTTATTGTTTATATGATCTGTTCTGATTAAGTTTCTGCTAGTGACTATCTTTATGGTGGGAACCTGGCTAGCACAGAAGGATCAATTGAGAATTTGAGGCTAAACTTCTACCCTACTCACACACCTCCAAAAACAGAAGCACTAAAGATTCAGCCCTACACAACCCAACAAGGGAGTTGGATGAGCCTTCAGGTGTTGTAATAGAGAGAGAAGGTCGCGCCCTACAGAGGGGAAGAGGGCTTCAGGCACAAGCACCTTATGTGCATTTCTACTTGGTTGTTCCTGAGAAGCACCTTTGTAACAAACCAGAGAAGTGAGACGAGTCCTGACAGACCAGGGGAGGTGAGGAGAGTTCTTCCTTGAATAACGTGAGCTATTCAAACAACCATCAACTCAAGAGGGACTAATGGAAGCCCTATTCATAGCTGGTGGGGCCGAAGTGGTAGAGGCCTGGACCTATAACTACCATCTCAAGTCAATCTAGACCTGAAGGACGGAGCCCCTCCCTTGTGGGATCTGACACAAGTCCAGGTAGGGTGTCGTAACTGAGCTGATGGACACAGACGGTCTGGTCATTTCTGAAAACCAATCAGCCTGGCCATTCAACACTCCACTTTTCAGCGTCCTCCCCCATTCCTCTTGGCCTGACTTCCAGACCCAGACACACTCAACCTTCTTCCCCCTCCATCTGCTTACCTAGGCTCACCTTTGGCATAGAGCTTCTAATTCACAGCCCAGTACAGACAACCCCACCCCATTTTAGTAGCCAATCTCGCCCTGAACTTGTCTACCTACTCACCTGACACCTCTACAGCAAGTCTAGTAAGTATCTGAAATTTGATTCCACACATCTCAATACAAAGTCCTGACTCTGTTCCGCATCATTCCAGCTACCACCTCCAATCCTCTAAAGCCTTCCCAGTCTCAGCCAATGCCATCTTCCTGTATCCAGAGTCAGGGTTCAGTTCCCAGCCTACATCAAGCAATGAACAGCCTTCCTCAGCAACCCCACACATGTACATTACACAGAAAGCTATACACACACGAACACACAGTACTTTTTTTAAATCTTGAACTGGTCAGTCGTACTACCACATGGCTACCATCCTAGTCTGAGCCGAACATCCAACGGCTCCCCAACACTGTCAGCTTCCGCACGAACCTCAGTCTCCGAGCACAATTCCACATCATCCTTCCCACTGTGCACCCTGACCTACTGACCTCAACTCCACCTCAACTTCCCTTTGATGGCTGGATTGGCATCAAACCCCACAAGCTTGTGTTCCTAACTAACAAAACCTGGAGACAGGATATTTAAAGAAGTAACGGGGGTAAGGGAAGTCATTGCTGAAGGCTTAACTCAACATGACTGATAAGCTCTTAAGAGAAAATGAGGACAGAAACATCAACAGAGGGGATGCCATGAAAGGGTAGGAAGAAGGTGGCTACATAGAGGCCAAGGATGTCTCAAAAGAAACAAGCCGCAGATACCTGAGGTACACAGCTTCCGGAGCTGAGAGAAAATAAGCTCCTGCGATGCAGATCTATGTTAACAGCAACATTGGCTAACAATACACAGTGCTCGGTCACACTCTCCACATCTCCTGCACATCCAAGGCACACCCCTGCCTTAGGCCTTCACACTCACCTCCCCTCTACACAGGACCAGCATTTCAGCTATTTTTCAGTTCTAGAGGGTGAGGCTTAAAGATATTAATGTACTTGCCTCCACAGAAGGCTGAGAAAAGATGAAAACCAAATATTATCAAATTCTATCACCAAGCAAAGCACTAAAACTAGATTTTTGCCAATCTTAGAAAACTGAAGGAAAAAAAATAGAGGACAACTACTTACTTTTCAACCCAGAGGACGGAAACCAGCTTTGCCCCTGTCTTCTGGGCTTTGTCCCAGGTGCTCTGATATCCATCTTTGAAGATCACATGGGTCACTTGCTTGTTGAAAGTTTTTGAAACCTGTAGACAAAATCCAAAAACCAAAGCTCACTGCTATCTATTCATAATTTCTTAAAATAATTAAAAAAGAACACTGCTCAAAAATTGTCAAAATGCAATGATCAAAAACCCTTACCCCAGAATTTCACTTCTCAGAATGCACCAGGAAACAATACTGTGATGAATGTGGAATGATGCTTTTGCATGGCATGGTGGTATGCAACTTTAATCCCAGCACCCAGCACTTAGGAGACAGAAGCAGGAGGATCTCTATGAGTTTAAGGTCAGCCTGGTTCACGTAGAGAGTTCTAGGACAGCCAGAGCTACATAGTGAGACCTTGTCTCAACCTCTCCCCACCAAAATACATCTGCTGCAGTCAGAATGAGGATTAGCATTCATGCCATCCTTACCCCAATAAAGAATGAGGATTAGCATTCATGCCATCCTTACCCCAATAAAGCTTCTGCTCATCACCCCTACCCCAATAAAGCTTCGGCTCCTGTCACCCTTACCCCACAATAAAGCTTCCAAGCACAGAACAGAGTAGCAACTTCAAGATAAAGAGAACGGGAGAGAACAAACCAGGTGGAGTCCCTGAGAATAAAGGGGCAGGAAAAGAAAAATGGACAGAAGGAGGCACTACCTGTAAATCAGCTGAAAAGACTGGCAGACACAAGGATATTTCAATCCCTCTTCATCCTTGAACCTCCACACAAGTTGTGGCATGTGTGCACACGCATAGGAATGCACACCTTAAACTCTTTTTAAAACTTTCCATATTAGACTGAGGGTATAGCAGAGTTGGTAGCAGGCTTGCCTAGCACACACAAAGAACTGGGTTCTATCCTCCCACCATTTTCAAAAACCAGGTACGGCGGGAAACACCTGTAGTCCTAGTGCTTTGGTCCAGACAGGAGAACCACACATTCAAGGCCATTTTCTGCTACACAGCCAGTTCTAGACCAGCCTGAGTACATGAGACCCTGTCTCGATAAGTAAGGAAATTAATAAACAAATGAAAAATCCCTCTACATGAAAGAGAAACAATGTAACGTGGAGGAAACAAACAGCAAAGGGAATACATATCTAATTAAAATTAAAATCAGAATTTTGAGATGATGCAGTATTTATGTGATATGATCAGATATTTCAAAGAGGTCAAGACCTAGAGTTACTACAAATTTAAGAATGGAAAAAAAAAATTCCATAGAAATTGTATACAGCCAAGTAAAGAAAATCTCCCCAGCAACAGAGCACACAGAAAATAGGTAATAGGGTAAGACAGGACCATAAAAAGCACAGATCATGATCCTGAGGCCAAGTTATGGAGTTAAAACATAAACAAATTGGGGAGATGAAGCAAAAATTATTAAAGAAATGATCAAGGAAAACATTCTCAAATTCAAGGACATGCATTCTGGATCAAAAGAACCCTTCAAAGGCATAGCACAAGTGTGACCAAAGGGCCACAACAATCACATATCCTAGTTAGGGTTACTAACTATTGCTGTCAGGAACAAAACATCATGGCCAAAGCAACTGGGGGAGGAAAGGGTTTGTCTTCCCTCCCCTCACACCAGAGACAGGGCCTCTCTGTGTAGCCCTGGCTGTCCTGGAACTCACTCTGTTGACCAGGCTGGCCTCGAACACAGAGATCCGCCTGCCTCTGCCTCCTGAGCGCTGGGATTAAAGGTGTGCGCCACCACTGCCTAGCTGGTTTGTCTCATGCTTCATCACTGTCCATCACTGAAGGAAGTCAGGACAGGAACTCAAACAAGGCAGGATCCTAGAGGCAGGAGTTGATGCAGAGGCCATGGAGTGCTGCTTACTGGCTTGCTCAGCCTGCTTTCCTATAGAACCCAGTACCTCCCACAATGGCTGGGCCCTCCTCCATCAATCACTAATTAAGAAAGTACTCTACCGGCTTGCTTACAGCCTGATCTTATGGAGAAATTTTCTAACTGAGGTTCCCTCATCTCAGATAACTTTAGCTTGTGTCAAGCTGACATAAAACTAGCCAGTACACATGCCATCATGGAATTAAGAGACTATCTGGAATAAAGACAAATGTTGTAAGGGTGGAAATGGGTGAGAAGACAGAGGTAAGACCAACTTCAAGCAATGTAAATCAATTTCTAAATGGTCTTATATAGGGGTGGAAGCCTTAGAGAGATCAGGGAAATAGAGAAAGCCACCAGCCAACCTTACCTCACCAACTCTGCAGCTTCAAAATTCAAGCTTCTTCCTGTCTTACCCATGCCTTTATTGCCTTGCTGTTCTGCCCTCTCATTGGCTATCTTAGTCCAGCTTCCCTGTCACTGTTTGTCTGTACAGACCTCCAGATCTCTATGGTTGGCACTGGATTAAAAGCGAGTGTCACCACACTTGGCTGTTCCCTAGTATGGCCTTGAACACAGAGACCCTGCCTGATAAGTGATCAGATTAAGGGCATGTGCTTGTTTACTTAAAATGGCTGGCCTTTTCCCCTGATCTCCAGCAAGTTTTATTAAAGCACAAATAAAATATCACCACAAAGCAATGAGAAATAACAACTAGCTCAGACATTATCAACAGCAATCTGAAGTCAGACAGTAATGTAGGAGCTGGACATGGTAGCACAAGCCTGTAACCCTAGCACTTGAGAGACTGAGGTAGGAGGGTCATCACTATGAGACTGAGGACAGCCATACAGTGAGACTTTGTATCAAAAAAGTAATGAAGACATTCCTTCAAGGAAAAAGAAGGCATGCTAACAGTTTATAATCAGCTAAAATACTCATCAAGTAGATTCATAGAGCCATGTCAAAAATAGGCTTTTTGGGACTGGGGAAATGGCTCAGTCAGTGACATGACTGCTTTGCAAGCACTGATGTCCTCAGTTTGTGTTGCGGAATATTATTTTAAGATGTGTTACATTTGTTTATACTGTGGAACACTTAACTCTGTTAAGCTGTAATACTTTGCCTGTCTAAAATATCTGATTGGTCTACTAAAGAGCTAAATAGCCAACAGCTGGGCAGACAGAAAGGCTAGGCAGGGCTGGCAGGCAGCAAGAATAAATGGGAAGAGAAATCTGGGAAAAAGAGAAGGAGCAAGAAAAGGAGGACATCAGAGGCCAGCTACACAGCAAGCCTCCGAGTAAAGAAAGGTATACAGAATAGAGAAAGATAAAAGCCCAGAGGCAAAAGATAGATGGGATAATTTAAGTTTAAAAAAAAAGCTGGCAAGAAACAAGCCAAGCTAAGGCTGGACATTCATAAGTAATAATAAGCCTCCGTGTGTGTATTTATTTGGGAGCTGGATGGTGGGCTCCCCAGAAGAGTAAAAATGCCAAAAAAAAAAAAAAAAATCCTACAAGTTTGATTCCCTGAACCTGTGTAAGAAGTCAGATATGGCAGTACATGCATGTAATCCCAGCACGGGGGAGGCTTGAACCTATGGTCTTAAGCAAGCTAGGCAGATGTTCTACTACTAAATTTTATACCTAGATCCCCGACCCTTTCTAATTTTAAATTGTGATACAGGACCCTATAAGGTATCTTCAACTTGGTTATCTGCCTCATTCTTTCAAGTAGCTGGGATACTGTCCTACACCATTGAGCCAGGCTCATGGGTATGTATGCCTAGATAGGGTTTTGTACTATCTGTAGGTTCAGGGATCTGGGGGGAGGGGGGGGTCTTGGGCTTCATCCTCACTGTACTGTGCACTGGAAATATGAAAGCAAATTAAAAAAGGAAGAGATTAAAAACACAACATCTGGGGTCTGGTGACATGACTCAGTGGGTAAAGGGAGGTACTTGCACCACCAATCCTGATGACCTACATGTGTTCCACAGGCCCTGCATGGTAGGAGACGGCCTCAAGTTGTCTTCTGATCACACATATGCCATGTTCTCTTGTCCTCCACCCACACGTTTAGAAACTTTTTTAAATTATTACCTTTCCAAAACGGAAGAGAGAGTGGGGACCTAGCAATAGTGTACTAGCATGTGTAAGGACAAGAATTCTACCCCAGCACTAAAAGGTATAAAGCAAAGGACAACTGGCCTCTCTCTCGGGTTTCACTGCAAATTTCACAGCCCTGCATAGTAGTAGTTTCACAGTGCACAGGTGTTCCTTTTGTGCACAGCCATTCTCAAGGCAATCAGAAGGAGCCCAGCCTAGCACCTGGGGACACTCTCTCCAAGGCTTTCATCAAGTTGTCAGACAATAAGCAGCACCTGTAAGCCTTAGACCAGAGGAGGATCTGGTAAAATCCCACACCTTGGACTGGGCTGCCATGGACTACATCTAGACAGAGGCATGAACCAGAATTTACATACGGACCCTCCTAAAACAGAACTCCACTTGGTGTCGCGAACGCCAGTGTAACAAGACATGCTGTGCTCTTCAATGAAAAATATGTTGACCTTCCATACAGAAAGTTCCTGCTTTCTCACAGTTTTACTTAGGATTGCTTTACTTTGAGGTGGTAGAAGAGTGATACATTGTTAGGAGAAATGGTATTTTGTTAAGCTGGCTATGAAGTGTAGGAGAGGCATCACATCTCATGATGCAAAGAACAGCAATTCTCAGCCAGTCCCAAGAGCCACTGCTGCACACACACACACAGAGTTGCTAAGCTATAACGCTGTACATTAAATACATTTTCAACTCACAGGATTTTCTTTTCTTACAATGGGTATAATAGGCTTGAACTCCATTGTAAGTGGCAGCGCATCTGTGCAGATTCCTCTACTCTAAGCCTTTGACCTTACTTCACATGGACTAGGGTGGTTAAGCAAGGCAGGTACTGCTCTAATACCCATGTTTACCCTGCCTTGAGTTAGCCTGTCACTCACTTTACCCAGCCTGTCAGTGAGCATCTCCTGAAGACCTGAGCAGTCTATGTTCACTGTCTCTGTTTCCTCCTAAACCAGGACCTTAGAAGGCTGCTCATTCTCCTGTATCTTTATTCTTTTGATTCCAAGTACCAGTCCTTACAGGACCAATGCCAGACTCATGTTTCCTCTTAGATTCCTCCTCATACAATGCCTCCAAGACTATCTGCTCTGTAAGAACTACTGCCCAACTCCTATTTGGGTTCTTTTGTCTCCCACCACTTACCCACTGCCATAGCCTTCATATTCTAAAGAATAGCTCCCCTAACAAGAAAATGCCAGCGGGCTATCAATCATTCTGATATTAATTTCTTACCTTTGCCCCCATATCCTCAAGTTGTTTGGTAAATGTCTTTGAGTAATTCTCTGTTCCGTTGGAAGACCATACTTCAACATAGGCCACAATATCTGAAAATGAGCAAGACATTAACAGGAAGTATACACTGGAAATTGCAATACCCTCCTGCTCAATAGGTTTTTCTCTTGTTCTATTTATGTTAGAAAATAAGTGAAAATTTATATTAGGAATCCACTCAAAAACTGATCACTGCTATTTTGGTGGTACTTAAAGTCTTCCTAATCTGGGCTTAATTATCCTGGATTATGCTTTCTGTAAAGAAACAGTAATTATTACAGGCTTTCTAGGTCAGATTATCTCCCAACACCACAATTTCATGGCCATAGCACAGAGAGTGGGTTAACAAGCCAATATAGCTTTTATCAAATAAAATTTTGTGGATGTGAGGGTGATCTGGCTGCGACATCTGTCACCCCATTGATCGCCAGGGTTGATTCGGCTGATCTGGCTGGCTAGGCGGGTGTCCCCTTCCTCCCTCACCGCTCCATGTGCGTCCCTCCCGAAGCTGCGTGCTCGGTGGAAGAGGACGACCTTCCCCGAATAGATGAGGACCGGTCTTCGGTCAAGGGTATAGGAGTAGCTGTGCTCCCCTGCTAGAACCTCCAAACAAGCTCTCAAATAAAATTTTGTTTATGGAGCTGGGCATATCAGCACATGCCTGTAATCTTAGCATTTAGGGATTAGGCAAGAGGATCAAGAGTTCTAGGCCAGCCTCAGCTATATGGCAAGTTGGAGGCCTGCTTGGGCTGCAGGAGACCTTGTCTTTAAAAAAAAAAAAAATATGAAGAAAGAAAATAGTTTCATACAGTTTTCACTTGCTATTCTTCATTTTTTCCCCCACTAAATCTAAAATTTGAAGGGCTGGAGATGTAGCACGGTTGGCAGAGTTGCTTATTTACCATGCACTAGGTCCTGGGTTTTAAGCCTACTGCAATGTCAACAAGGCATGGAGGCCCCTATCTACAATCCCAGCTCTAAGGAGGAGGATCAGAAACTCAAGGTAAGCCTCAGCTACAAAAGAAGTACTAGGCTATCATGGGTTAGAGACTGTCTCCAAAAACATCCCCCCCAGGGGGGGGGGGGCTGCTAAGTAACCATGAGCAAAGCAAGAAGACCTGGTTCTGTTACAAAATACTGTGGCAATATTAGAAAAACAGTCACCCCTGGTTACAGAATTGTGCAAACTGCTGGTTTGTTCTTACAGCTCTACCCCTCCAAGTCCCTCCACGCAGACCTCTTTCCTCAAAGCCTAACTCGACAAGCATCATCAGCAAACCCCAGTGCTCAAGTGTGTGGAGTCACGCCTGGGAACAGATACTCGGGGTGGGGGGTGGGGGCTAAGCCACGAGGGCCCTTCTAAGCAAAGGAGGGACAAGCCTTGATCTCACCATTAAAATGAATGGGGCTGCTGGCACGACAAAAACTTAGAGTTCCACAAGTGTCAGCCCTGAGGAGGACCCACCGAGAGGCCACTCGCATTACTACCAAATCATTACTTTTCCTGATCCCCCCCACCCCCCGCCCCCATGCCCAGGCGCTAGAAGTGAGAGGCTCTCAGAAAGCTAACACGGGACCTGATGGCCCCTGCCAGCTGCCCAGGGCTCGGGACGCGCAGCGGGGACCTACAGGGGCCATAGCGGGGACCCACAGGGGCCATGGCAGGGACACGGAGGGAGGTGAAGGCCACACGGTATTCACTCGGGGGTGGGTGGGTGTCCACCCGGGTCGTCGGAACCCTGAGGGATGTGAGGAAACGGTGAGCTCTGAGGACACCCCAGTCTGAGGGGACCCCCGGGGGCCCAGGACGGACTTCCGGGCACGCATCACGCAGACCTCCCCCGCCCCCAGGGGCGTGTCCCCCTCACCTTTCAGGAAGGCGCCCCCAACGCCTCCGGAGGACTCCATGACCCGATCCGGCGCGGCGCGGCGGGACGGAGCGAGCGTGCGCGGGCAGGAGGACGCGGAGAGGCGCGCGCGCGCGTGCGTGCGCAGGCCGCGCTCCCCGGGGGTGGCGGGGGGAAAGCTCGGCGGGTCAGGACCCGGCGCGTGTCCGGAAGGGGCTCCTCCGGGGTCCTCCCTTCCCTCTCCGCGTGCTGCAGGCGCCTCCGTGACACACGACAAAGCCCCGGAAGCTGGCCGCCCTGGCTGGAGTCGGTCCGTCCGTCCGCCCGCCGCACTGCCGCTTCAGGGCCGCGCTCTCCTCCAACGTAGCGCCCGGGGACCCGGTACTGGGAGCGCCGCAGCGTGGAGCGGGATGCCGGCAGCTGCCGCCGGAGCCTCTGCCTGGGCCCGGGTCTTCAAACCTCCCGCCGAGGAGCTGCGGGGCGTGGGAGAGCCGGGGACGGGCCCGCCTCCCCGCGCAAGGGCTGCCGGGAGGGGGAGGCGGCCCGGCCGTAGGCACCGTGGTTGGTGGTGGTGGGGGTGGTGGTGCAGGAGGCGGGGAGGACTCCGGCCAGCAAGGTCCCCGCTGGTCCTGTAGTCGCCCTGAGCACGGGGCGTTGAAAGCATCCTGTTCGCGTGGACGCGGTTCCCGTTGTCTTTGCTTCCTTGTTGACGTTGATTTCTGTGTCTTGAGGATGTTGCCTCCGTGCACTTGGGTTGCGCCACGTGCGTGCCTGGCGCCGGTGGAAGGCGGAGGAGGGCGGCAGATACCCCGCAACATTAGTCACGTGTGGGTATGAGCCACCCTGTAGGTGCCGGGGGACCAAATCCGTGTCCTCTGCCAAAGCAAATGTCCTTAACCATTGAGCCATCTCTATAGTCCCTGGTTGTTGTTGTTTTTTTTGTTTGTTTTGTTTTGTTTTTTTTGTATTTATTTATTTATTTTGGAGAGAGGGTCTTGTTTTCTAGCCCACAACTCTCAGCAGTCCTCCTGCCTCAGCCTCCCCGAGTGCTGGGATTACTGGCTGAGACACCTCACCCAGTCCTGCACCTTATTTATTAAAAGAAGAGCCAAATGTATATAATATTCCTTCGGTCCCCCCCCCCTTTGTTCCATCATGAAGTCCATAGTCCTTTCACGAGCGTGATAAAAACACAGCACTAAAAATTCGGGGGACTCGTAACTTAGAGTTTAGGAATATGCTTTGCGATTAGGATGGACTAGGAAGTTTTTGTTGATCCCTTACGGACAGAGAGACACTGATGATTTACCGGGCTGTGTCCCTTTCCTGTTGGGAAATGGGAATGCTCTCTGCCCGATTTACCTTCCCCAGGTTCTCAACCTTCCTGAGGCTGCGACTCTTTAATACAGTTCCTCATGTTGTGGTGACCCCCAACCATAAAATTATTTTCGTTGCTACTTCATAACTAATTTTGCTACTGTTAATGAATTTTAATGTAAAGATCGGTGTTTTCTGATGGTTTTAGGTGGCCCCTGAGAAAGAGACATTCGACTCGCAAAGGGGTCATGACCTACGGGTTGAGAACCATTGCTTCCAAGGGACTATGTCTTTATTGTCTTCTTCTGTTCCTGTTAAGAGATAAAATTGTTGAGTGTGTTCATATACACCTGAGGGACAAGGACTGGGAATTGGAAGCCACTTTTGACCACATAGAGAGACCCTAACTTAAAAAAAAAAAAAGTTTAAATTACAAGTAATTAGCTGTTATTGGGAATTCATGAATCGAGGCAGCTTCTTTCACTATAGCAGCTTGGGGGCTTTCACTAGGCAGGCAGTGTCAGGTGCAAAAGAAACCCAGTCAAAGGGCTACCTGGTACCTATTAACATATCAAAGTGGCTGCTGCTGCTGCTGCTGCTGGCCTCCAGGCTCACCCAGTACCTGTGGCTCTTCTTTGCGCTTCTCACCCCACCCCCACCCTAAACTTCCCGGTTCCCCCAGCTTCTCATGGCTACGTAACCCTGTCATTTTGGCCATGAGTTCTCTTGGTCATCTTGGTCCTCCTCTCCCTTGCCTCTCGCTCTTATCTCCGCCCCCCCCTCCTCTCTAACCGCTCTTCCCATGGCCTGGTCCACTCTGCTGGCCATGTTCAATATGCTGCTGCCCCTGCTCTAGACTCTTCCAGATGCCTCTGGCTGTACTCTCCCTTATATCTGCAATACAACCTTTCCCTTCAGCCACACCTTGGAGTGGTCATGTCCTCACTTTTTACAGGCAGTAAGAGCAGGACTTGGCTTCCTAAGAAGGGAACAGAGAAGCAGAACCATGGCTCCACTTTGCTTTCGGATGTCCTTGTTTGGCTGGCTTAGGTGGGCTGGAATCTGTTTTTACCTTTGGGACCTTTCAACTTCTTTACACCTTCCCTTGCATTGTCTGGCACTTAGCCTGACTAGTGACTCCGCTTTGGTTTGATCAGCTCCTTTGGACCTGGTGTTCAAGCTCAGTCAAAAACACTGGCATCCCAGGATCTTGAGTTGCTTCTCCCTCTGAACATACTCTCTCCCCACACAGGGCATCAGCACCACTCCCGGCATCGTTTGAAGGTTTGCCATCTCAAGTCCCCTATGACCCTTGGTGAATTTGTGCCAACAGGAAAGAGTGCTAGCCAAGTCAGCTAGCCCCATATGGGTGAAGCCTGGCATTAGAGTTGAAAACCGGCTTTTAGTCAACTAAAATGCGATAGGCTAGATTAGAGAGGACCGCGGAAGTGTGGCAGACATTGTGACTCTCCGTGAATGGGGTATGCAAATTTCCTTTTCTATTCATGTGTTTTTTCTATAAGCCTGAAATTCTTTTTAAAAGGAGGTTAAGAAAAATCTAGCAGGACTATAAGTAGTGGGCTGAATATTTTGGGCCAGTATGACCCTAATCTCCCTCACAGAGGCTGAAACCGACTGGGTATTCTTCCATGTTTATGTACACGTTGGTAGCCAATAAAGAGAGCTGCCACAGTGGCTGTCTTGATGCTCTGACCAAAGCTGCTGAAGGGTTTGCTTTGGCTCTCAGTTGAAGGGCACAGTCCATCTGGGCATGGAAGCAGCCATGGGGGCACGATTGTGAGGGAGCTGCTCACATTGCATCTAGGCAGGAAAAGGAGAGAGAAGAGCGCTGCTCTTCAGCTTTGTTTCTCCTTCCGTTCCACCTGCTGTCCTAAGACATGGACTGATGCTGCCCACAAATAGGGTGGATCTTGCCACCTCAGTTTCCATAGTACAGATAATCCTACACAGAAACAGCCACAGATTTGTCTCTACAGTGGCTCTAACCCTTAGCACGTTGGTAAGATTAACTATCATAGGGTCCAAGGCTAGTCAAGCAAGATCAGTGAATATGTTCCTGTAGTGTCTTAGTCTGCCCAAGGCTGCTGTAACAAAAGACTACAACTGTGTGACTTATAAACAGTAGAAATTTATCTCCCAGGTTCTGCAGGTTGGAAGCCCAATGACAGATGCCTACCCAGCCAGGTCTGTACTTCCCAGATGACATTTTTTCTTTGTATTTCATTTCCATAGGCAGTATAAAGAAGCAGTAACTGGGGCCTGGAAAACCGGCTCAGCGTGTGCAGTGCTCTGAGAGAATCCAGTTCCTAGCACTAGTTGGACTTCTCACAACTGCCTGTAACTCCAGCTCCAGGAGATCCATGGCCCTCTTCTGGACTCCATCAGCACTGCATTCACACATGCACATTCCCACATGATGACACATGCAAATAACTTTAAAAGTATCTCTTTAAAAGCACTACTTCTGTTCAAAACGAGGCCTCTACTCTCAGGGCCAAATCACCTCCCAGTGACCTCACTCATCTAGTGCTGTGACAAGGAGGACTAGGATTCCTTTTTCGGTGCATACTGCCACAAACCATGAGAAGACACCAACATTCAGATCGTAGCAGTATCCTATTCTACTAGAAAAACATTACTGTGTAACCTAAAAATCCTTTCTGTTAAGGTTGCTCCTTGCTGTTGCTGTGATACAACACCATGATCAAAAGCAGCTTAGAGAAGAAAAGGCTGGACTTGTGATTCCAAAGGGATAAAGTCTGTCATGGTAGGGAAACCATGGCCTGGAAGGTGGCCGATCACGTTTTCTTCCACACACACAGAAAGCAGAGAAAATGAACAGGAAATGAGGTGAGGTTACATACATACACACACACACACACACACACACACACACACACACACACACACACACTCATAGCCCACCTCCAGTGATGGACTTCCTCCAGCAAGACTGAACCTCCTAAAGGTTCCATAATCTCCCCCAAACAGCACCACCAGCTGGGGACCATGTGCTCACATGCCAGAGCCTATGAGAGGACATTTCTCATTCAAACCATCACAAGTGGGATTAGTTTAATATAGAAGATCTTTTATCTAAAGAAATACCGGTATAAATGTTATGTTTGAAACTTATTTAAGGAGCTTGGAAGATAACTCCGTTGGTAAAGGGCTTTGCATACATGATATACGTGTACTTCACGTGAGTACAGAGAGACAGGCAAAACAGCTATACATATAAAAAATAAAAATCTTAAAGTCACAACATTTGGAGCCAGACGTCTCATTTTGTAGCTCTAGCTGGTCTGGCATTTGCTATATAGACTGGACTGACCTCCAAGTCACAGGAATCCACCTGCCTCTGCTTCCAGAGTCCCAGGATTAAAGTCATGTACAGCCACACCTGGCAACAAAGGGAAGCTGGGTATGGTAGCCTACACCTGTCACCAAAAGCTAAACTAAAGCTGAACTAAAAGAGAACACATTTACAATGCATATATAGCGATGAGGGTTGAGAAAGACGTAGAGACTAGTTCAGAGTATACCAAGTTTACAGAAACAGTGCACAGAAAGGACAGATAGTTAGCATGAGCTGTGTGCCATCCCCGGTCTTCATGTGACATCAGTGCGGGACATGGCACAACTAATGAACCAACTTTGCACATAGCATTATAAACTGCATGACTCACATTCGATTCCCATTGTCTGTGGTACATTGAGTCAGTATTGACGTGTCTCCAATAAAATAAAACCCTCCAAAGGAACCAAGGTGACCAACATTAATGAATGCAAATGTATCTGACTTTGCATTAATATGGCCTTGCCTTAGTTTTATTTTTTTATCATTGCACTTACAATATTTTTAAATAAAATAACTTCATCTGGAAAGATCTGGTGAAGACGAGACCAGAGCAACTCTGCTTCTTTTCCACTCTCCACAGAAAGAGATGAAAGCCATTTTCCTTCCCCACACTCGCTCACCATCAAAGGATGTTACTCTAGCGAGCCCTTTAAACAGCGGGGCTAAGGGAAAGCTGAAAATATTGACTTCTGTGAGGCACACACTTGGGCTCAGCAGGTGGCCGGCTTTCAGAGATTTCTCCTTAACAACCTGACAGCTCTTGGGGAGCAGTCAGGAGTCACCAGCCAACTCTTCAAGAAGTACCTGGCAACCCC